TGGTCTGTGAAGCAGCAAGTAGTAAGCACGTTTTGAAAGCTCCTGACGGGCTTTATGTCGTACCAGCCGTACGACTAGCTGCCCCATCTTCCGTCCTTTCTCGGTGCCCTTATTGCAGTTTGCACCTTGAAGCTGCTGCTGCTGCTGAGCAACAGCCGTAAAAGAGTTTGCAGCGGATCCAATCCAGCTCCAACCCTGAAATCCACCTGTGACCGCTGTGAGAGATCTCCAGAGATCCAAATCCATAACCCAGTTCTCACAGTCACTCCTTCCCCTACTTGAAGTAGTAGGCCAGTGATAGCAGCACGTAGAGCGCAATGAGCTGAACCCCCAGCAGCCAGTGGGAGGTGGCGCCGGCCGTCACGAAGTTGGACTGTGCGCCGGGTGGGGTGGGGTGGGGTGGGGTGGGGGGGTTGAGGGTGGTGTGGTGGCGCTGAGGGACGGTGGGTGTGCAGTTGGGGTGGTGTGAGGTACCCCCTGTGGTGCCCCCGTCCAGGACCCCGGTATGGACCCCACACAGCCTTGCGAACAGCTCGCGGGAACCCCCCCACCCCACCCCTTCCCCCAATTCCCTCCCCATTCTCCCCTGCCCGCTGTTGCTCCTTCCACTCTCCCCCCAAAACGCTTCCTCCCATAGACATACATACGTACATACATACAGGCGCACGCACCTGCGCCACGGACAGCATCAGCGCCATGGCGGAGAAGGGGTCGAAGTCCAGCGTGAAGGGGTGGTCTGAAGGCGGCAAAAAGGAAGGAAAGGAACCGAACACGAACTGGGTCAGAGGAAGGGAACCCGATGTGGTTGAGGTCGGGAAGTGAGATCGCCTTTCCGGAAGTGGTTGACCACATTCCGGATCGAGCGCATGTCGGAGTCATGTCGGTTCGAAGACAGATTTCGGAGCGGAAAAGATAAATATACAGAAAAAGATAGAAAAAGAGGGGAGACTGGCGGAGGCGACGGTGAAGACGAACGTGCAGGAGGGGCTGACTGACAGGCGCTCCACTCCCTCGCCCCCAGCTCCCGACATGTATGAAACCAGCTAACCAACCCAACCAACTTACCTGTAATCCAGCCAACCACCACAGCAAAGGGTACGGCAAATAGCGCCACCTGAATGGACGAGCCGACCGCCACCCCCATAGACCTGCGAGCACACACGGGGCGCACACACGCATATAAATACAGACATACATACATGCCAAAATATGTAGTATATGTGTGTGTGGCAAGTCTATATGTATATCTCTCTATCTCTCTATCGCTCTACAGCCATCTAGTCGCCCATCCCCCCC